CACCCCACCCTCCACCCCATTAAAAATCTCAGCTAAAGAGAGTGGCTAAGAACTTACATGCAAACTATACTTGTGAAAAAAAAAATCCTGTTTCCAGTCAAGAACAGAATCCCTCTATATCTGAAGTACAGTGTTGAGAAGCAGAATTCATCTAGCAAACTTCTACCATTTGAGCAAGTCAGCAGTTGGAAGGAGTTCAAAGTCAAAGGGAAAACCTGGATTTCTTTTTCTGACAAATAATGGATAATAAGTAAGGTGGGTCAAGTGAGTTCAATTCGAACCCAGATTTGGGCATCTGCTGTAGGATACAGGGTGATAGGACAGCTGGAGTGGCGGGCTGGGGTTGCCCTCATGATTTCATCTCTGCAGGCTCCCCCTAACCTGGAGCTGCTGAGACAGCTCTGCTGAGAGAAGACCTGGAGGAGCTGCCTCAGCTGGAAAGCTCAGGGGAGGCCCCTTCAGTCAGACTCAGGAGCCACTCCACTTCCCGTAATAAATACAGGGGGGGCTGCAGGCTGAGGAATGGGAGGGACACCAGGCCTGCTCAGTCTAACAGACCCCTGGCCTCCAACTCTTAAGGTATTGCCAGGGCTTCCTGCCCTCTGTCCATCTGCTCTACCCAGCAATTGGGGACACCCTGGCAGGCTTCTTTTCTGCTTATGCTGCTGTGAAAAGAAACAAGCCCTGGAAATCTGGATGAAAACACGAAAAAGAAATTCCAGGGCTAGAGGCATTGACTGTCCTCCACCTGTGACACGAAACACTGTGAACAGGTATATTTGCCCTGGAAAGTATGGCTGCACCTGAGGACTGGCTAATTGAGAAAACATCCAACACAGTGATTGGGCGCTCAGGATACTCAGGGCACTGGGCACCATACCATGAAGAGGAAGGGACAACAAGACAGGTGCCCCAGGACAGAGATGCCCTGGAGTCAGAATATCCAGGTCAGTCACTTTCTAGGACAAGTGACCTGATCTCACCAGGGCTCAATTTTGTCATCCATAACAAGGGATAATACTTCAATGGAGATAAAAATAGCAGTATCCAGATAGAAGCTCCCTAAGTTTTCTACCTCAGTCACCACAGATCTACCTACATCTGCCCCACATTCTCTATATCCCCTCGTGCTGTGATGAAAAAAAATACCTTCCTATCCTCTCTCTCAGGACAGCACTCTTCCCCTCTTTCCTGCATTCATTCATTCATTCATTCTCTCTCTCTCTCTCTCCTCTCTCCTGGGCCATTCTCTTTGGCATATCATTATGCTCTAGTATCTCCCATTTTAAAAACCTCCACCACCAGCAAACAAAAGCAAACCTCTCAACCTCCCATCTTTCTCCAGTTACCATCCATTCATCTAATTTCCTTCATGATAAAACTTCAAAAAAGAGCTGTCCACCCTTCTTCCTTGACTTCCCAGTTCATGCCTCCACTCGCTCCCAACAGGCTCTGGTCTCCCTACACTGCTGTGACACTGTTGCCCAGGTTGCCACACTGCGGAATCCAGCAGCCATTTCTCCATCTCCACCTTTTAACAGCATATGACATAATTGACGCCTTCCCTCCTTTCCTGAAGCACTTTCCTCTCTTGGCTTCAGGGAGATTGCATTCTTGGTTTCCCACCTTCCTTCATGGCATATAAGTCTCAATCCCTGTTGCCAGCTCCTTCTTTAACTCCTATTCAAATATCAAGGACCCCCAGTCCTCTGTTTGGGCCCTCCTCTACTTCCTATCCAGGTTTCCTGGTTCCCCAGGTTACCTATTAAGTCCCTTGGCCTATCAGGGGTTTTGTGAGAGTGAAATGAAAATGTAAGTAAAGAACGCAGCATAGCATACATGCTGCCCCCAGCAAATCTGCAATCCCTGTAGCTATTATTGCCTCCATAGTCAATGACTCCTAGAACGTCTAAGGGATCTCATGAACCTGCCATATGTCTGTGACCCCAGCTTTATACATATTTTCCTCCTCAAATAGAGTGGTTTGTTCTTCCAAACTTTTGGTCTTTAATGGATTTGGGATTGCCAACATCACAGGGAGCAGCCATATTTAATTTTTGATAAGTTGTAAAGCCAGAATAAAATGTTAGGAAACAGTATTTGCCCTACTATACTAAAGAACAATTCTTACATAGGAATCAAAGCTCTTTGTACTGAAGCTCGGAGGCAGAACTCTTGGCACGAAGAAACAATGCAATGATACATTTTGTCAGAAAGTTCACTGCCAAAGATACATAAGAAGAAACATCCACAGCATGAGGTTGAGAACATAGTGTCTAGAGCTAAACTGCTTGGTTCCAGTTCTGTCTGGGTTCATGGCATTGATTACATTATTTGTGTGCTTCCATTTCCTCATCTGGAGCATGGGGACAATAATAGCATTCGGCTCGAAGGGTTGTAAACATCAAATGGGTCATCTGTGTAAAATGCTAAGAATCGTGCCTGGCATGTGACAATACTCAATACATTTCAGTTATTAGTATTATTGTAAGTAATCTAAAAATTGGCAATGGGGCAAAAATATGTAGCTACCAAATGCCAAATATACTTAAAAACAAACTGCGTTTCCGAGTTTAGATACAGAGGGAGGGTGTGTCGTAGCTGGGCCTGCAGGGAGGGGCGAGATGAGCTCGGAGGGCATCAGGGTTACTGCTGCTGGATAAGCACTTGCTGTCTGGGCCTCCCGGCTCAGGCTCTGCAGGTAGACGCAGCTCTCAGGGCAGTTACTGAAAGGAGCTTAGCACACAGAGGCCTGGATAGAAGACAGGGCTGCCTCATTTCTAGTCAACCAGATTTCTTCTCTTCTGTTCTGGCTGGAGAGATGGGTTTGAGACAGAGAACACTGGGCCTTTGTGGTGGCTTTGATTTGTTGGATGAGGACCATTGTGTAGCTATTGCTGTTGAGCAGGCATTGACCCCAAACTGCACCATGAAAGTTAAAAATCCAAAAGTGTTTAGGGATTAATATTCATAATACATAAAGAACTCTGATAGCTCAATAACAAACAACCACCCAATTCTTAAAACTAGGCAAAGGGCTTGAATAGACCTTTCTGAAAAGATGATATACAGATGGCCAATAAGCACATGAAAGGATGCTCAACCTTACTAGTGATGAAGGAAATGCAAATCAAAACCACAATGACATACCACTGCACATCCATTAGGATGGCTATTATAAAAAACAAAACAAAAACAAAACAGAAGCGAACAAGTAATAGGGAGGATGTGGAGAAACTGGAACCCTTGTGCATTGCTGATGTAAAATGGTGCAGCGATGCAGAAAATAACATGGCAGTTCCTCAAAAAATGAAACATACTAGGTTGTCAGAAAAGTCATGACATACTTTTTCTATGTTTTTCGTTGCAAAAATGCGTCATGACTTTTCTGACAACCCAATAGTATTACTGTATGCAATTCTACTTCTGGGTATATAGCCAAAAGAAATGAAAGCAGGGACTGAAACAGGTATTTGTACACCTGTTCAAAGCAGCATTATTCACACTTGTTAACAGGTGGGGACAACCCAAATGTCCATCAACAGATGAGTGGATAAACAAAAATATGGCATCTACATATACTGGAATATTATTCGGCCTTAAAAAAGGAAATTCTGACACATGCTACAACATGGATGAACCTTGCGGGCATTCTCTGCTAAATGAAATACGCCAGACACTAAAGGACAAATGCTGCATGATTACACTTATGTGAGGTACCTGGAGTAGTCAAATTCATATAGACAGAAAATAGAATTTCATTATCGGGTTGGGAAGGAGAGAGCAGGAGTTAGTGTTTAACGGGCAGAGTTTCCGTTTTTGTTTTGTTTTGTTTGTTTTTTAAAGATTTTTATTGGGGAATTGGGGGTATGAGAACAGTGCTGGGGAATTGGGGGAAGGGGAACAGACAAGTTGCTGTCCTTAGCTGTAGAGGGCAGTGTCACTGGCCCTCATATGTGGGATCCGAACCAGGGCCCTCTGGCATCCCAAGCCAGTTCTCAACCATCGTGCCACTCGGCCGGCCCCAGAGTTTCAGTTTTGTAAGATGACAGCAGCTCTGTGGATGGGGGGCGGTGATGGTAGCACAACAATGTGAATGCACTTCATGCCACCAAACTGCACACTTAAAAAGGATTAAGATGGTAAATTGTATGTGGATTTTGCTGTAATTTTTTTAAAAAAGAAAAACCTGTGTTTATGTCAACCTCATTACAAAGAGAAGCTTTGTTCAAAATTCCAACTATTTGTTCCAACAAGACTTATTTAATGAGTACCTACTAGTTTCTAGGTGCTGTTCTCGGTGCTAAGAGAGGGAAAAAGAAAGGTAATGTGTACTCTAAAGAAGCTCACACTTTATAAGGGAAGAGAGGAAGAAAAAGGTAAGATAAGACAAGTTAGCATCTTAAGAACGAAAATAAAAGGGCGGAATGGGTTCGTAGCCTTACCAGAGATATGTGCACAGGGCTTGAGCTTTAGAGAAAGAAACCAAATGTCACCACACCAAACACAAGGTTTAAGGGAGGGAGGATAGTTTAAATACAACAGGCTATATAAGAAATTGGGGTTTGATTAATTAACACCTGTGGAAAAGAAAACCTTTAAAATGACAGTGTAGAATAGGGATAGAGGAAAAAGAAAAAGCTGGCTGCCCTTAGACCGCTTCCAAACCAGTTATAGTAAGAGAATGACTAAAATACACAGACTTAAATCCACCACAGAACCACCAACTACAGCCGATGTCTCTGGAAACGTAGTTTTCCAGCAAAGGATGTGCATTTTCAAGATTATCCGTATTATTCACACCATGATTTTCTTCTCCACAAGACAGTAGGACTGTGGCCAGAGAGCCTGTCAGCGCGGCTGCACTGGGGAGCGCCTGACTGAGAAGGAGCCACCTGGGAGGGGTGGTCTGAGGCCAGACCCATGCTTGCTCTTTGCTTGTGCACCTCAAAGGCTGACCAGAATACTACACCTGACAGGAAAAGAGAGGCTTCACTCACTTGAAATGCAGAAATATTTATTTTGGTTTCCTTCATTGTTTTTGGAAATTCTGTTTTGGTTTATAAAACATAGAAATAGCCAACACTTAAAGCAAACATTCAAAACCCCAATGTGACAAATTATTGACTTTTGTGCAATTAAGAATACACACATGAAGTTAGGCTACCAGATATGTTACTACAATGACAATTCTTGAGTGCAAACCCTGTTGTGCTTGTGTAATACATGTACTCTCACACACCCACAAACAATTGCTTTAAATGTATAAATGACAACTTATTCAGTCACATGTGGCAAAGGCTTGCAGTAAAGTCAAATGCTGCTAATTTCCCAAATTAACTTTTATAAAAGTCCCTTGAGAAGTTCATCCCAGGAAATGAGTTTTCCAGATTCCTACATCCTAGAATTTTGGCTTGTCAAATACATTTCATTAGAAATCAGGTAGCATGATGATAGAAGAGTATTTGTTTATTATTGTCCATTTCAATAAGTACCCAAGTCTATCTATTCCCTTAATCTTTTTAAAGACATGCCTTGCCTGAGAGTTTATTATGGGGAAAAAAGCCAGTTAATCACAACATGAACCTTTGATATTAAAACCACATTAAAAATCCGTTGGCCATCACACACAAAGAGTGACTGGTTCAGTGAAGATAAAGTGGACAGTTATTTAGGCGTCACAGTTGAGCATGGTCTTTCTAGGTAATTATTTCCTTCTTGAAATGCTTGTCTTTACAGTAGTCTAAGGCAGATTTTTTTCATAACCCCTGGGAAGGGATGGAGGGAGGAATCAGGTCTGGAAAGGAGGATCTGAGAGCATGCTGCTCTGTGGGCGCCAGAATCCATTTGCTCTGGCAAGCGGCCATTCATCTGAGACTCAAAATATCTATGCTCTTCTGAGTTGGTCTGTCCTTTGCTTCCCTGGGAACCTTCTTCTGCAACACGAACAATAGGGGATGTGGAGAAGAGCAGGACTTTCATAACTCTTTAACGGAAGGGTTTAAGAGTGCCTGTGAAATGGGGAAGGGAAGGTGGCAGGGATTAAAAAAACAAAACAAAAACAAACGCCTCTGGTCCACTTGTGACATTCTCCAGCCAGGACAGTTCTTAAGGGACAGTTTTCCTCCAGTGCACTGTATGTACTCTTCAGAGCAGCAGACAACTGCAGAATTTGCAGCAAGCAGCAGACATCTCAGAAATAGCAAAGTCCTAATCCCTTGGTTAGAAAAACAGGGAGACAGAAGTTTCACACCTGTCTTTTTAACTGAGGAAGTCGCAAATAACTTAGCACATTTATAGTTTCCCCTTTACAATTTTTAAGGCTCATTTTGGAAATTGTATATCACCATAGACATGGTCTACAACACGAGGTGACTGTAAGGCAGTGTTCCATTTCCTCTAATATTCCTACGACAAGAACCCAGAATGCACAAGTCAAACATGGACGGTCCCTTCCCTACGCTTGCTGTAGTCAAAATTACCAACGTGAAGGCCATCAGAAGATCGTGGAGGTGTGTGGTTTCTTCTGAGCTTTCCTCCTCCCATTAAACTTTGATAGTGGAATAAAGTTCATCTATCTGTGACCTGAAATAATTCCGAAGTTCTGGCCTTTTAGCTTTCATTGTTGGGGTCAGAAGGCCGTTGTCGATGGAGAATAATTCGGGGTGGAGAGTAATGCCTTTGACCTGCAAATAAACAAGGCCTTTAAAGGAGGAAAGAGAACCAGATGCAACCTGAGTCTAAAAAGCACTTAAGCTGCCCAAGGGGCTATAAAGACCCTTATGCAAAACCATCCTCTCACCTCAGGCCCAGCTGCATTCTCTCAACAAAGGCCGTGGCCTATTAGGATAGAATCCAGGACCTTATCCCGACCTCCAGGAAAAGAGAACCCACACCCTTGGTGAAAGAAATCCCTTCCCCTGCCAAACCACTCCATTATTTATTCCTCATGGATTTCTTTAGGTCATTTCATCCTCTTCTATAACCTACTCATAAAAAGATCAAGTCCAAAACCTGTTTTGCAGGAATTTGTGCATTTTCATGAAAGTCTTACCTGTTCAAACGGTTTGAGGCCAGACTCCTTCCCAAGTCTCACCATGTCTTCTAGGATAGCTTTTTTGACATCCTAATAAGGTAAGAGAAATAAGGTATTTTCTGTGTTGGAGGCCCCTGCACTTTGCACTTATGACAAAGTGAAGATACAGAAGTAGACTGTGCGCTTGAGACCCTTACCTTGTTTCTGCACAGCTCTTCAAAGGAGCCTTCAAACCCTCTCTTTCGGGCCCAGTGACATAATGTCTCCACATCTGGCACCACAATTCCTATGAGAAATGCCTTTAACACAGACAAATGAGTTATTACACGGTTTGTTCCAGAGGTTCTAGAATAGTGGTCCTTTATTATTTTGCATCACAGACCCCTGGAGGAAACTGCTGAAAGTTACAGATTCTGTCTTTAGAGCATCTTACCAGCCCCAGGAGTCCACTAGTGGAGCCCAGGTTAAGAATTCCGGGCTCTACATTACAGACAGCATCAGGAATTGTGCAATAAGTGTTTTACAAGAACCTCCGGAAATCAAAATCTAACACAACCCTAATTTTTATTTACACTTGTGTATACTTTTTCAAAAATAAAACAGGGTCAAATAAGCAAATAAGGTGACAGATACTGGATAAATAAATAAATAATAATTTTTTTAAAATCAAAGGCACGGTAAGATTCTAGGTCAAGAAAAATTGGCCCACCTTCTTTTTCTTTTTCTTTTTAGAGGAGCGAAGATTTTTATTGAAGCGAAAGAACAGCTCTCTTACGAGAGGGCGTACCCAAACCTGGGGTGCCGACTCTAGGTCCACTTTCTTATGAGAAAATATTCTTCTGAAGTTATTTATAAATCTCAAGATTTATAAGATTAACTTTCAGGAAACCAGACCCCCTTCTCTCCCTTGTCACCATCTGTCTGACATTTTGTCAAATAGATATGTCACTACAATATTGACCTTCTGTTTCAAGTTTAAGTATATGTTGGCTCGCAACCACCCTTTTCTCAAAAATGATTGAGGAGGTACATCACAAATAAGTTGGGTTTAATACGTTTGAAAATTCTAAACTTTCTTAAAATCCATATATCAATATTATCTCCTCATAATTAAATTAGAAGCATATGTTACTCACTCCCTGGTATCTTAATTTACCCTCCCTTGGTACACCAGACTACTGTGGGTAAAATAAAAAATATGGAAATCAAAGAGAAAAAAAACTTTCCGGGTAAGGAATGCCAAGGGGCAAATAACATTCCAACACGTCACACATGCAAGTCAATTCACACCAGTCGAAAACTTTCCATCGCATTTAAAGGCCCCGGAGAACCAGGCACTCCCCATGCCTGCGCATCAGAGCTCACAGCTCAGAAAGCACCTACCTGCAAGCTCTCTCCGTAGACAAACACCTGAGCAACAGGTTCACTTCGCGTGTAGATATTTTCAATCTTTTCAGGTGCTATGTATTCTCCTTGTGCCAGTTTAAATATATGCTTTTTTCTGTCGATAATCTTCAAGGTACCATTCTGTTTATCAGAGGGGAGGGGGCTGTGAGTAGGTCCATGGCTGCTTCCCACCCAGGATCAATCAATCGCGCACAGCACAGGGCACTTTTTATGCACTATCATTTAATCTTAATAACCCTGTCAGGCAGGGTCAGTTGTCATGCCATTTTACAGGGAGGGAAACCAAGGCTTAAAGAGATTAAGTAACTTGCCCAAGACCACTGAGCCAAGGAGGGCGACAGAAGGGACTCCAGAGCCCATGTTCACCCCGCTTCACCTCTTTGCTTGCTACCTTCAGTTTAGCAAGTTTATGTAGTCTCGTATCTGAATCAGGGGAAACATATATGTGCCTCTCCAGCTGAGTCAAGTTCCTTGAGAGCAGAGATGCAGAGCTACCCTCCCACGGTGCTCTGCACAGAGTAAGGACTCAGTAAGTGTCTATCACACAAAGGATAGATTTCAGTTTCTTTAGCGCTGCTTCACGGTGGGGAAGGAGGGGGATACTCCCGGCCCTTTGGGAAAGGTCTGTCAGCCACCCACACAACGCTGTGGGGACGCTAGAATCTCTGGCCAGACCAGCCAAATGCCAGTCGTATCCACCCCTGGTAACCAAACCCCAACCCAGCTTGCAACCCATCACCACCCGGGGTCACTCTCATGCTTCTAAAAGTCATTTGTAGGAAAGTTTCCAAGTTCTCTCATTCTGCATCAGTTCTCTTCCATTTTCAAGAGGCGTAGACTGAGGTCCAGAGAGATTATGAGATGTGCTCATTAGAACCAGAGCCAGAATGAGAACTGATACTTAATCCCTCCTGAACCTGGAGAAAAGGACTTACTTTATTTCTAAATAGCTTAAGTATTCTGAAATCTGAATTAATGGGGGGGGGGTGTCATTTTTCAAATCAATGAAAACTTCAGAGTATTAAGCACCTTAAATCTATAATACACAATAATAAAAATTACATTAGTGATTTTAGTGCTTGCAATTAAACACAGTAACAACTTTAAACAGCAGTGGTTGTTACCACATCAAGCACAATTGGCCAAACCTCTGGGTGTGGCTTCTTGCCTGAGCCTCTCACTCCTAGGATGGCCTCTGAAATTTCTTCACAGTAAATTCAAAAGAGGTGCTCTAATCCATGCAACACTTATCCTATTTTAAACTAGATGACACACCTAAGAAACACATGTATTCACAAATTCCTGCCAATCTTATATTCCTGGCAGTCTACCACAATGTGCCCCGTACCTTGTTTAACTAAGGCCGCAATATGAAGGCACAGCATTGATACATAAAAGTCCAGTCTCTCTGGATTTCGAATGGGAAGCAGCAACCAGAATTGATGTCAAACATCCAAATAAAACATACTTGCTACAGGTAAGGTGGAAATCCTGCACAAATATGCTAAGAGTATAAACCTGTTCCCTGCAGGAAATAGAAATGTCTACACCACAGCACTCAACAAAGAGAAGGGGAAGAGAAAGGTCAGGGTGCCACTGCCACGTGGCAGATGGTCAGCAAATGGGATATTTTCTTCCCTACAGTGGAATAACAGTATCTGTGAACAGGGGAGGTGACCACTTACTGGTAACCATTTCCCAATGTCCCCTGTGTGTAACCAGCCATCCTTATCCAGAGCTTCCGCTGTTTTTGCTGGATCCTTCAAGTAGCCTTGAAATACATTTGGCCCTTTCACACACACCTGAAGGGGAAAAGATCAGGGGTTCGGGGTTAGGGTGGGAATTGGAGGAAGGAGGTTGAAAGATACAAACTTCCAGTTATAAGACAAATAAGTATCCGGGATGTAATGTACAACATGATGACTAGAGTTAACACTGCTATATCATATATTTGAAAGTTGTTAAGAGAGGAGATCCTAC